ATATGTAAGCTTAAGGAATACATGCAAATCTCAACAATTCTCAATATGTTCACTTTCCTCATATTATACTTCTTATTTCATTTGCTATGATTTCTATCTTTGAACTGTTTATCCTACCATTTATTACTTCACTGTTTCTAATGTAATTTTGCTTTTACACAGATGTTTGGATATGTTATAGAGCAGGGGTGTCAAACTTGATTTCATTGAGGGCTGCATCAGGGTTGTGATTGATTTTAAAAGGTGGAGGGGGGCAGGCGTGGCCATGGTGGGCATGGGCGTTGCATGATAGGTGTTGCCTGTATGTCACATGTATGTCGGGAGCACTTGTGGTGGCCAAGTGCTAATGCAAGACTTCTCTGAGACCTTCCCTCACTCTCATTATAATCTCCTTCCTTCCTTCCTTCTTTTTCTTTCTTTCCTCTTTCCCTTTCTTCTTTCCTGTCCCTTCTTGCATGCTGAATGCAAAAGGGGAAACATTTCTCCTTCTTTTGTTTTTGGTTTGTTTTTATAGCCCCCTGCCAATGAAAATGGAGGGGGAGGGGGTCATAGTAAAAAATGAGGCGCAGGGAGCTGTACACATTCTCCCAAGCTCCATTTTCGCTGGCCCCACAGGCTGGATCTAACGCTTTATTATTCCCAGGCTGGCCGCACAGGCTGGATCTAACACCCTGCGAGCCGCATCTGACTCACAGGCCTTGAATTTGACACCCCTGTTATAAAGCCAGCACCTACAACTGCCCATTGAATTTTGTTTAGATAATACATTTTAGTATAAAATTAAATAATATACCTAAATCAATATTTTTGGATGGATTATCTAAATAAAATACTTCTGTGATTTCTCTAAGTGATAACACATAACAGAAGTTATGCATCTTAAAAGGACTAACCTGCACAATTCTTTTCCTTCTTTAGAATCATTGACCTTCAGCGTGAGGGCATGCTGAGTATCAATAGCTACAAAGTGAGTTTCTTTGGATGTTCTGTTCATCTGGACAGAAATCAGCTCCTGTTCCAAACACTTTAAAAAATGAGGAAAAAAAGAATAAAGACCATAACAAATTGATTTGCCTTGCAGTAGATGAACCAATATTCTTATCTTTGAAATGAAAAACAAATAGAAGGGTTACTGGATCTAGAATAAACAATGTGGCTTGTGCTAAAAGAAGTAGTTGCCAGGTGAAACTATACCATTATATTCCAAGATTTTAAAAATGGCTTGATTTTATATATTCAGAGTTCTAGTATCTAAAATGAAATGTACTTCATTGGGCTAGCTATATATATTTGCTTGTGATTAGACCCATTTTCTTCCATAACTATCACTCAGCGCAAACATGAATCATAATTGAAAAATTGGAACTGCAGTTTGATTCAGATGAAGCATTTCATCCAACTTGAATCATTTTACAGGTTATAGGACTTTCCCCTTCCCTAAATATTTGAATTACCTTATAGCAATAATCTGAGACCCAATAAATGGACAAGTTGTCAATGAGCAATTCATTATGAATTCGTAATAAAGCTTGATCCATTTTTAAGTTCCACAGAGGCCGTCTGGATATATCTAGAATCAAAAATGAAGGTGATATTTAATATTTATATATATAAAAAATCAGAATTGGATATTTTTGTCTAGCAATGGAGACTTGAGAATCCTGGAATTATCTCTTTTTTGTTG